AAGCTCTGTGCGCCAGACACTGTGGAGAAGGTAGAAGAGTTTTAAAACGCAGATGCAGACGTCATGTACAACTTCCTTATACTTTTCTGGTCAAAGATCCTCCATCTTCGGTTTGGGAGGGCTACAGGATTCCTACCCCAAGTAAAAAAGAACAAAGAGGGTGGCCTCGGAATGATTTGCAGGGTGATTTGCAGGACACCAGCAATGTTTACAACAAGCTGTACACCGAAGCCCGGCCTAGCAGCGCCATCAGCTGGAGGCCTAGAAAAGAGGCTCATCTTATAAACAGAGGCTGCTGCCTGGACAGGAGAAGTTCTCTAAAACACATTAATTCCAAGAACCTCGAATCCTTTAACCTCCCTTCAGTGGACTGCTATCCCCCTTGCATAATCCGAGGAAATGGTGTGTGGTAGATAGATGACATGGGGCTAACACGGAGCCGCCATGCTCACTGAGTCCCAGGAAGAAATCTGAGGGAGAGAGAATACTGATCTGTCCCAAACCTCCCCAGAGTGCTCAGTTTGGGCTCTTCTCCACCGGTTTATCCACTTCTGTCCTTCTCCTCTCCCAGTTCTCTTGTCTGGGAACCATCCTCTCATGTGGGCCACCACAATCTCCTTCTAACTGGTCTCCCCAAATCTACTCTGGGTGTTCTGTACAGCCAACGCCATCTTGAAACAAGCCCTTACCACACCCTAAGAAGTCACGCACACCACGGCTCTTGCACGCCTCCCTCATCTGCCACCCTCCTCGTGGCTTGTCACAACCCAGCTACCCTGGGCTCTGCCTGTTTCCCTCAGGTGCCAGGCTCATTCCAGCCTTTGGGTCCTGGGTTTATCACTATCTATGCCTCATTGGTCTTCCCCTAGATCTGCACAGAGTTGATCCTTCCATGACCAGCCTTGGAAAACCAGCTATTTTCTCTCATTACTCCTGTTTTACAGTTTTCACAGCATTTGCCACTATCTAAAATTATCAATTCTGTAGCTGACTTGTTTAGTATTTAACCTTCCCTCTTAAAAGGAGAGATCTCGTTTGTCTTGTTTACTGCTGAATCCCAGGTACCAAAAGCTGTGCCCGACACACAATAAGCACCTAACAGGTATCAGTGGAAGGAGTAAAATGCTCTGTCCTGCATTTTGTCCATGCATCTGTTAACACCAGTGTCGGAAGCAGCGCTGAGAGAAGGGCCGGGGTCCAGGCCAGGTTCTGTGCTGCGCACATGAGTGGAAATCTGGATGGCAAGCCTCCTCCATTTGGTCACCAGCACCGCTTTCCGCCTGCTAAGCCCAGCAGTGGCGGTGCTGATGTCTGCCCAGAAAAGTGAACACTCCAAAAAAAGAGTATAGAAAGGTGAGCAATCGGAAGAGCACAGGAAGGTAAGCAAAATGCAACTACCAATTCAGTGACCTTTCCTTTCCTTTTGCTAGAGAATCATCCTAAAGTTAGGCTGGAGAATGTGAGTCCTACCATTCCCACCTTTAAACGATTTACACATTGGTAATTTTAAAGAAAAAATTCCAGGGAGCTGAAAAGTTTTCACAATTCAAAACAGTGTTTCATATCAAAAGGTATAGGATTTATAGTGCCTCATGGACTATTTTCCTACCCTGTAGAAAATGTAAGCTGGAAGTCTCTGTTCTAAAAAGACCAAACAAACAAAAACAAAAACAAAAAGCTGAAGCTTAAATAGTGAGTTATCACCCGAGTTGACGGCCGCTAGAACTCTGATGTGCTGCTCCCTCGTCTCGATACATCAACCACACTCTTCCTCGTCCATAGTATATTAATCCATCTCAGAGTCTGACTGTTTTCCTATTTCCTAACTACTCCACTTTCCCTTGAGCATCAGTAACATTAGCTCATTTAATGTGAAGCAAAAGGGGAAACCAAAGTGATCCCAAATCCTGTGAATCTACTCCCAACCTTCTTGTGCATAGTTTTCAATTCACAGTGCTCTCCCTCAGGTCATTAAATTATCTACAAAGCTCAGACAGCCCTCAAGATGTAAGCAGTAATCCAACATGCAACACAGCAGACTACCTTTCACATACTCTGGAAGACTCGGCGACACTCACACAACATCTTTGAGACAAGAACTAGAACAAACAAATGGACAAATATCCTACCCAACCTCTCCACAGAAAAAACACTCCAGTATGAACTCTAGGCAGTTCTTTCAAACAGTGTCATTCCCCGTGAGTCAGTAAGAATCTACAGGAGAGGTGTTAAAGCATCAACCACTCCTATTTTTTTCAAGGGTCGTATTTTAGATAAAACTAAGGGTCATATTTTACTTATCAAATCATTCACTCAAAAAATCTCAATTCATTTAAAAAACTGAGGTAATGAGGAAGTAATGTAATACTTTTTAATAGCAGAAAAGCTGACATTACAGTCTTAAACCTCTTTATTTCTCTTCTAAGCAACTGTTCTTCCTTGATGTGATTTTTGTGATTTGAAAAAGACTATGAAAAAAATCCACAGGCCACATGGTTAGCTCATAAGTTACGAACATGTTGATTTTAACAACACTGCATCAATGATTTAAAAGCCAGTTATAACCACACAAAAAAATTTATCTTTTAGCATTTTTTTAAAAAATATTTATTTATTTTGAGGGGAGGGGAGGGAGAGAGAGCATGCATGAGTAGGAGAGGGGCAGACAGAGAGAAAAAGAGGCTGAAAAATGCCCACCAGGTTCCATGCTGTTAGCACAAAGGCAGAGCCTGACACGGGGCTGGATCTCACAAACTGTGAGATCATGACCTGAGCTAAACTCAAGGTCAGACACTCAACTGACTGAGCCACCTAGGCACTCCTTCACCATTTCTTTCTAAAATTAGAATTACATTAACCTCCTGTCAACAAATTGATGGTTAACCTCTTCTTCCTTCTGCACCCTACTCCCAGCTCAGTTATTCTCAGCTATGAGTATTTCATTTATAAAGGAAGTCAAGGAAGTCTTCCTGGGTTCCCCCAACCTCCTTAGCTTCCTGTATCCTCTTTCCCTCCATCAGGAAAGCTTTTTCCTGCCCCTACGCCACTATTCCACCATCACTGGGCCCTCAAGGTTAGCAGAGACTTCATGCAGACACTAAAGGCCCTTCGCCATGCTCACCCTTACTCAGCAACCAGTGTGTAGCATTAGACATGTTCCTTCTTCCCGGGCTCGGATCACTTCCTGTGCCTTCCAAGGCACCAGCTTCTCCTAGTTCTTTTTACCACTCTGATTTTTTTTTTTTTTTTTTAGAGGGGGAGAATAAGAACATTTCGTGTTGTCTTTTAACAACCATTCTTTTTCTGTCTATTCCTAATTATTCACTCAACACGTTGGTGTTCAGGACTTTGTTCTCTCTTCTCATGCAATACTTTCCCCAGGTGATTTCATTCAATTCTATTACCCAAATGGGGAGGACTCTCAAATCTATAGATTTATTCCTGACTTCTCTCCTGGGGCTCTGCATCCCTATTTTCAACTTCCCACTGGGTGTGTGTACTGGGATAGCCCACAGACAGCTCAAATTTAACAAAGATACATGAACTACCTTTCCTGTCTGTTCATTCTATATTTTCCATCATAATTAACAGTGAGGCCATCCCTTCAGGCATCCATGCGAGGATCCTCTTATCTTCAATCCCTAATTCCTTCTCAACTACACCCAGCCCCTCAAGTCCTGCCTCCTCTGCCTTTACATCTCCGTCGCCACTTTCCCTGTCACTGCTTCAATTCAGGACTTCATAGGGGCCACTGCAGGTTTTCTAACTGGTCTCTGCTCCATCTTGATCTCCATGACACTATCAGAACTATTTTCTAAAAATCTGTCCCCCACCTGCTCACAAAATCCTCTAGTAATTTTCCACTGCCTACAGGGTAACATGCAAGCAACTGGCTCTTCACGACCCGCCTGCCTACTATTGAACTTCCCTGCCCTCTTTTCCATCATATCCTCATACAGCCTCATCTCCAGCCAAATGGAATGATCTGGAGACCCCCAAATCCAGCACCCTTCTTCGTGTTCCCATGCTTCTGCGCATGCTACTTCTTTTGCCTCCTATGTCCTTGTGTGTCCTCAGTGAAGCCTTCCTGAGTTACCCACGTGCGAGAATCTCTCTTTCCCCCCACGGTTTTGTGCCCAGCACTGTTGTACCTATTGGCTTTATGTCTCCATTCCTCTGGGGGATGAGGGTGGGCAGGGGCCCTTTAGCACAGTGAGCTTATTGTATCTTTAGCTCATGGCACAATGTTAGGACTCAATAAATACGTATTAAAAAAAAGTAAGGGGCGCCTGGGTGGCTTAGTCAGTTAAGCGTCCGACTTTTGCTTAGGTCATGATCTCACGGTTCGTGGGTTCAAGCCCCGCGTCAGGCTCTGTGCTGCCAGCTCAGAGCCTGGAGCCTGTTTCAGAGTCTGTGACTCCCTCTCTCTCTGACCCTCCCCTCATGCTCTCTCTCTCTCTCTCTCCTAGAAATAAATAAAAAATTTAAAAAATAAATAAAAATAAAAAAAAGTAAATTCAATTTATAAATGCCACAGCAGTAATACTTCTTTATACAGAAAAACCATATTAAAAACTCTCCCCCACGAAAGAAAGCAAGGTTGGTAAGGTGTGAAAATCAAAGCTGCCAGCGTTTGCAGCTTTGAAAGGTAACAATACCTGTGCTCATGGCTTGTTACCTGTTCATCAACCCATTAAACATTTACTGAAGGCAGACAGAACGAACGCACCCGAGATAAACCTGCCAAGTTTTAGAAGTTTTTATTTTCCACCACGGTGACCAAATGTTTTTGCAAGCATTCCACACCAACTGGTCTGCTCCTCCCTTCTCTGCAAGTGACAGAGGGCTTCTGGTCTTGAAGTCCACTTGTCAAAAAACACCAAAGAAGTTTACACAAGTAACATACACTTGACTGCACTTAGAATACTAAAGTATTCACTGAGTCAGCGCTTTACATGTTAAGCTTTATATACTCTCTCTCTCACTCTTTTTTTTTAAACCAGGGGAAAGTGTGAACACAGTCCCCCAATATCAAAAGTTATGCAGTCAAGCCTCCCACGTTTGGGGAAATCACAAGGGTCAGCACAGCCGAAGTGCAATAGATAAGCCTCGCCCTGGGAAAACCACCTTCCTGACCAAGTGATTTTCTCCCCTCCCAGGTACGTTTTTAAGCTTTATATTCTAATTTTTGAATAAAAGATTTGTTTTCACTACTTAAGGAATTATAAGCATCAAAAAAACAAGGCAGTTCCTTTTAAGTAGAAGATCCCTTGAAATTATATAAGGCCTTGATATGGACTTGAGTCAGTCACTTTAAGAAATTAATCAAAAGGGACAAGGAGTTATCTCTCTCCCTCACCTCCCCACATGCCCACCTCCACTCCTCTGTGGGGAAGGCCTTGCCTGAAAAAGCTGCTTTTGATGTCTGTCAGCTCTGTGGGGTTCAGAGAAGGCCAGCAACTTCATCCGGGATGGGAACATTCCTTCAATCCATCTACTCCCTGCCTCAGCACAAGTCAGCCGCCTGTCAGCCTTCCCAGCTGCCCTTAATCCAATCGCCACCTTCCGATGCCTTTAGTCCAAGATGCAGAAATATCTATTTTACAGTTTTCTATGTTTTATTTATTCTTTAATAATTTAACACTAGCTCTCCTTATCAGACCTCTATGTACCTTTAGTTGTGAAATTTTTGACAAATGTGGTACTGGAACACTTCTCTAATACTATTGTAAGTCCACAAAAACTCTACCATTTGCATATAAAAAAACAAAGAAAAGTCTCATTCACATAAGATGGAGGAGAAAAGCCTAGAAAAGGCATAAAAATCTGCTCTTTATTAAAAACCTAGCCTAGAAAACCAGTCTTCCTCCAGAAAAAATAATTTTTCAAGTATCTTAACTTCACTTCTTTCTTTTTAACAGCTCAAAGTATTTTTATCTTTTTCAGTAGAAGAGGAAGGTATTACTTTTCCACTGAATAAACCAACTGAAGCCCTCAGAGGACGAAGATGCTTGTGGCCAATTACGCTCTTTTCACCCAGGTCTCTTTCATTTAAAAAAAAAGAAAAAAGACTGGTTCATCTTTCCTTTCTTACCTGATATAATCTCTGATATTGAGGATTTGGGATTTTGGTGGTTGGAAACAAGTCTTCAATGGTGTCTTCCTTTTCATCTTTCTTTACCAAGTTCATGGAGTCAATCAAAGCATCAACAGCATTCAGCTGAGCTTCTAAAACAAGGATAAACAGAGCAGCACCAAGGAAAAATGATTACCTGCATTACTCTCCACTAAAACAAATGCTTTCCATTCACAGATACTCACAGCAATACTGGCAGGTTACACAGTCCAGGCCTGGCCAATAACAGTCTCTAGTTATGCAAGCCACTTAACTAAACAGAGTCTTGGTTTTCTCTTTTGTAAAAAGAGCTTTTTAGAGTAGCTGGTCTCTTAGGTCCTTTCTAGCTGCACCATTTGGTAAACTTTCACAGTATAATACCATATTGAAAGCAAAAGTTTGTTCCATACCCATACAAAACCCAACTTCTATATGGTGACTCAAAATATTTAGTATTCAATGAGTTAGTATGTTAAAAAACTTAGTAATTAGCTAAGAGAGAAAAACATGAAAAAGAAAATACTTTTGGTGATAAGGCATAAGCTTCACAAGGATTTCCTATAACTTGTATCAGAGTAACTTAATACGAAGACAGAGTTACCCAACAGGAAGATACTGGTGGGCCAGAGGGAGCAGACACCTTCTCAATCTCCACAAGTCAGAATGAGCTCTCTCCTCTCACAAACCATATGGCCTGTGTGCACACCTGTGCACGTCTTACCCCCACTCCATTCAAACTGTAAGACCCTTGAGAGCAGAAACATGACATCTTCTTTGTTACCTCTCTCCCAATACATAACTGCAAGCGAGTGCTCTTCAATAAAAATCTACCAAGTCAACAAAAGTGGCACAGTCCAAAGCAATGTGGATGAAAGGCAACACTCTCAAAATGCTTCTACGTAAACTACCATGTGTAACTTCCATTCTGCCGATTCATACAGCAGCTTGGCTGTTAAAAGCTGAAGTGCTATTTTTGGATCATCCACAGCCAGTCAGCAAAAGGTGGAAAAGAATAAGCAGTTCCTAAAAAGCCCATTATGCTTCTATTCTTCACCTTTTCAAGTATCCCTTCTACTACAAAATGAAAGAGCTTACAGCTATTTATCCTGATACATTTCTATCCCATTTTTGGACTTTCCAGGGGGAGGTTTCAGACCCTGGCGCAGCCATCACCATCTGAAGCTGACTACTGCAGGGCCCACCAGGCCGCAGGTAGGAGGTGGCACCTGTGTGTGTGAGCATTCAGTGATCTTCATTTGCTGCTTCAAGCTACTATCAAGACAGATCACTTTGGCACATTGCATATCTCTACATAAATATCTATTTGCGACATCTGCCAAACAGGTTTCATGATCCATTTTCTAATGGAAAGAATGCAAATAAAAATACAGAAACACAAAGAAAATAAGTCAAGGGATGGAAAGATACTTAATATTTTAGATCCTGAGTGAATGATTTACATCTATATAATTTTTCAACAAAGCTCTTTTTTTTTTAATGTCTACACATTTAACGTATGAAATTATCAAGATGTAGAGAAATAATACTGTAAATGCAGTGCAGGCTTCTACATGTTCAAGTCCATGCTGGCTCCACCACGATGCACAGGGACTCATTTCTAGAAGGTAAAGATATAAGCCCCAGGCCCATTTGATTCTTGGCTTTTCTACTGCACATAGCTCCTAAAGGATCTAACCAAAAACCCAGAAAAGAACCCACTTCTGGCACTCATCTCACAACTCCTTAATCCTATAATGACACACAAATTTAAACTTTCAAACTAAAACATCTACTCATTTTCTTGTGTTCTTTTTGGTATATTCTTTACATTCAGCCCACTATGATATCTTACTGCAACTGCCTTAAACTGTGAGCTCTCTCAAAGATAGGACCTGTATCTGTGAGCATCGTTCTGTGCAGCACCATGACATTTGTAGCCAGGTGCTCAGTAAAGTCCTTTTCTCAACAAGCCCAAAGTTAACTCCTAGAAACAAGGAAGAATGAGATTGGAACTGTTACTGTAAACTATAAAAAAAGGCAAAGAGAAAAGTTAATCTCCAGACTATTAATTTTCAGTTCAAAGACAGTTATTATCATATTTTATGTGGGACACTGAAGTCACAGCTCTGACACTACACATCAATTCACTTCAGCAGAGGGCAAACTGGTTCACAATTAGAGAATGCACATCCATTTCCCACAAGTTGCTCCCTAGATACAAGGTCTAAGTCAGAAACGGGAAACAAGACTGTGTTTGGAGAGTCCAGGGCAAACCTATCACTACTACTGAAAAAACATGGTGCCCCACTTTCATCATCACTGTGTATGAGCATGACTGGGATTCCACTCTGTGAAATCCCCTGGTCCCAACCATGACTGCAGACAGGTGATTTCCCAAGCACAGTCTGCGTTTTGAGCCAATTAATGAGCTAAATGGAAATAAACTTACCTGTGGGCGTACATTTCTTATTATTTTTCAAGGATGAAAACATGTATTGTCGCAAGTCTTCCATAAAAGGCAGCTGCACATACATTAGACACTAATGAGAAAGAAAGGAAGTAAAAGCAGAGACAACCAAATTAATGAGAAAAATATAAAGCCGGTCCTAAACACTGTGAAGGTGGCACAACTAAAGTATTTCAAAAGTCAGAGAATTTAAGTCCAGTACACAGTAAATAAAGTGTTTTGATTTGTTATTAGTTGTACACAACTTCAAACAGTATAAAGAATATTAAACATAAAAGAAATACTTAGGACTATCAAAGAATACCTGCAAAATGCATGCCCAATACAACAAATGGGAAAGGTCATGGAGACTAGAAAGGCTGAGTGGGAAGTCATGACATTTGCCTTCTCTTTTCCAGTTCTATCACAGAAAGTTCTCTGAGAAATAGGAGATGGTAAGGAATGTAGGCCTGTATTCTGAACAGGAGAACCCTAAATAAACTGAATTTTTCTTTTCCAATTTTTATTTAAATTCTGGTCAATTAACATACAGGGTAATACTGATTTCGGGAGTAGAATTCAGTGATCCATCACTTACGTACAACATCCAGTGCTCATCACAAGTGCCCTCCTTCGTACCCAACACCCGTCTAGCCCCTCTCCCATCCACCTCCCTCTGTCAACCCTCTGTTTGTTCTCTAGAGTCTGAACTGAATTTTTCAAGGATCCGAACAAAATTATATCCTCGACCTTTATCCGTAGTCTTCATTTGTAAAAATAAGGATACTCTCTCTCCCCATTAGGTTCTGGGAAATCAAGAAGGGTAAGAACCAAGAGGTCACTGGATTGGGCAAACAGAAGGTTATCATTAACCTTCACCAATTTGATTTAATCATAAGCTCCTTACCTCCTTCTCCAATTTAAGTTCTTTCTTTGCAACTGAAAGTGTGGTCCACAGACCAACAGCATCAGCATTACTTGTGAATTTGTGAGAAACGCACAATCTCAGGCACCTCCCCAGACCTACAGAATCAGATCACCAAGTAATTCCCATGCACATTAATGGCTGAGATGCACTGTCTGGAATCAAGGAACTGAGGGAAAATAATTAACTTGAAAGACCTGTGGGTTTTACCTCATAGGCGTCCTTGATATAAGGAAAAGCCATGCCGACTTGAGGATTAGTTCTTTTGGCATAAACATACCGAACCACGGCCACCATGTCTAATTCATCCAAAGCATGAATCAGGGAGGAAAGTGCCACCGCTGCTGCCTAGTGAGAAAGACGCTGCATTAACTAAGCCAACGTGTGTATACTTTCCCAGCAGAACCCAATCCAGCTGACCCTTGAACATGTGGGCAGGAATGCATGAGTCCACTTATACACAGGCTTTTTTTTTTTTTTAGTGTTTATTTTTGAGAGAGAGAGAGACATAGCACGATCAGGGGAGGGGCAGACAGAGAGGGAGACACAGAATCTGAAGCAGGCTCCAGACTCTGAGCTGTCAGCACAGAGTCCAATGTGGGGCTTGAAACCATGAACCGTGAGATCATGATCTGAGCAGAAGTTGAACGTTCAACCAACTGAGCCACCCAGGTGCCCCTA